ACCATTTCTCACAAGACCATTTGGAAGATCTGTGTAAAAAGGCTCTGTTTGGTGGTGGGTTTTCCAGTGTATGTGTGGATTCTTTGGGTTTATTACTTTGTTTTGTGAAATGATCTGCAAGCTAAAGTCTGGTGTAGGTTAAATAGTCTTCAACTCTCTTGGTGGTTTTGTCTGGTCTAATTAAATCATGAGTTTTTAATAAGAATCCCTATACACTAACTTTCATTCTTTGCGAGCCCAGCCACTGAATAAATCTTGTTGCTGACATTTGTCTAGCTGAAGGAGGAAGAAGCTTTTGTGATAACAACATCAAGGGGCTGGTGCTATGGATTTTTTGCTTGTTGAGAGAGCAGTTATGATTTAGCTGGTCTGTTCTCTTTGGTTTCAAGTGGAAGTAATTGATATTGTCCCAGTGAAATGGCAAAATAAGTTTTTATCTTTTTATCTTTCTTTTTATCTTTTATCTGCTGAACAGATAAAAAGTAATGTGAGACTGCATTCCTGTTGAACACCTGGCTTATTTGTTAATGGTCTGGAAAGGTATTAGCTGTTTTTATTGCAGCTGCCCATGTCTGCTCCTTCTCCACAAATGCATTAAAAAATAAAGTAACTTCTAATTTTTTTGCAAGCAGCTACTTTATTCCCAGTTGGGGGAGAAATCTATCAACTCCGATCTGTCATTTGGAAAGTGTTTTTGTGTTCTTAAAATAGGAAGAGTTTTGTATTTCTAAGGACCTTACAGGAAGACCTTTTCCCTTTTCAGAATTCTTGAAGAAAAGCCCAGAACTTGACATCTAAATGCTTTTCTAGCTTTGAGTAATGAAATATTTGTGTCTTCTTGGAAGAGCAGCTCTGAAGAGCCTTTTCTCTATATCTAAGGAGAGCACCTTTGGGACAGCTTTCCTATATTACATTAGCAGTCATTTAATATTAGTTTTACCTGTCTTTGATTGCTGAAGTGTAGAAATTTCTACTCCTGTAGAAATGTTGACTCCCAGGTTTTTGCTTTATCCCTGCAGAAACTCAGTCCTAACAACCTTGTTGTTTGGGGGTATTTTGGGTTGTTTTTCATTTGTTTGTTTTGTAGAGGGGAGAGGGGTGGTGATTGTTGTGGTGGATGCTCCAAGTGTGGGGACACGAGGCTTGACTCCATTTTTCTCAGAAGGCTGATTTATTATGTTATATATTATATTAAAATACTACATTAAAACTATACTAAAGAACAGAGAGAGAAGAAAGATCAGAAGGCTACAAAGAACAAGAATAGAATAGAATGCATAACAAAATCCTGTGACTGCTCACAGCCTTGGCACAGGTGGCTGTGGTTGGTCACTAATTGAAAACAATCCACATGGACCAATGGAGGCTGCACCTGTTGCATTCCACAGCAGCAGATAGTTATTGTTTGCGTTTCTTTCCTGAGGCTCTCAGCGCCTCAGGAGGGGAAAAATCCTAGCAGAGGATTTTTCATAAAACATCATGGCTACAGGTGATTGTGTAGTTTTAGGAATAGATGGTTTTTGCGGGGGCTGGGGTTTGTTTTTATTTATAGTTCCGGGAGGTTTTCTAGCAAAATAGGTTGCTGCTTCCCTCTCAAGGTTTTACAGCACAGCTCTGCATTTGGAGACCAATAAAGAGCATTATGATGTTTCTCAAGAACAAATGGGGAATATATGGAAGTGGTACCTGTAGATAATGCAGTTTACTTTTAAAACGTTAATTGTCTTTGCTTCTACCACCCTGTGATATTGCATGCTAATAGACAAATGTGATTGCTTTCTGTCTAATTCAGAGTTGAAAATCGTCTTAGCAGCAGATAATTGACAAGCATGCTTGAATAAATCACAGTATTGTAAATGCCTGCTATGGAAATGTCTTGCCTATCAACACATGTTGGCATAAATGAAAATTTATTCAGTTGTATTGTCTTTCCCACAGAAGCCATGGAGATTTTCCATTCTCTTGCTGGCAAATGAAAATTTCATTTTTCATTTCAAGTGAAAAAACCAGCTGACTTTTGGAATCAGACACAAGCTTTCTTTTTTCTTCCAGGTGGATCCATTTCACACCTTATTTGGTATTGCTGGACTATCTTTATTAGGAGAAGAACAAATTAAGGCCGTCAATCCTGTCTTTTGTATGCCAGAAGATGTCCTTCAAAGAATAAATGTACAGCCTGAGCTTGTAAGCTAAGCCTTGTAAGGGACAAAAGCTTTGTATGACCAATTGCTTTAGTTTTACTAATTTATAATCTCATCTGTGAAACTCTCAGTATATTCTTCTTTCAGATGTGTTTACATTATGGAAGTAAAGCAATAGCTTTGCTGTGGACTTTGTCACTTTATAAATTGTTTCAGAACAGGCTGGTTCCCATAATCTGAGTGTAATATGTTATTTGGTTGTATTCTAAGATGTGTGGAAACATTTCAATTCGGTATCTAAATGTATGGGCCTTGGCTTTTTTTTTTAAATACAATATTCAAATCAGAGCTTGACTATGTTAATGCTTAACTTTTCTGTTCCTGTAATATGAACAGTGTTAGGTCTTCATACAGGCCTCTTTTGATGGTGGATCATGCAAAGCACTTTAAAAAAAAATCCAAAAAAACCCCAAACCAAACAAGGTTTCCTACCTAAGGCATGCACTTAATACCACACACTTATATATTTAATTATTCCTGTTCACATTTGCCATCACTTTTCTATGCTGAGAAACAGCTGCTTCTTCTCAAAGTAATTGATACCAATAATACTGTAATTATGGTTATTTTAAATATACAAATGTCTTCATTTATTGATGAGTCCCTTAGACAGAATTCCACTGATACTTGAGATACAGCATACCTTGTGTATGTAGAGTGAAACTTGCTAACATTAAACACTCTAGAGAGGCTCTCTGTTGGATGGTGATTTGTAATTGAACATAGAATTGATTCTAAATCTCTTGCTGGGTTGAAATCCTGCTTTTGTAGCTTTTAAGACACTAATTGTCAACACTTGATTATGGTGTAATTGAAAATAAAATTAGCTGTGGAAAATACTTGTTCTCTGAAGGGTGAAATCCTCTTTGTCTTCATAGAAGTGAAAAACTTGCCTCTTAATTTACATTCCACGCATCCTAGCTGAGACTGAATGATACTCCGCTTGTAATATACTGTAAAAGGTAATTGAGAAGTGGAGGAAGTCTGATAATCTCTGTACTTACGTTTAAGTAAGGCCTAAAGTTGTTTCACCTGTACTTCATTCAGCAGAGATAGCCACCCAAGATTTGGCCTGCACAGTTTTCATACTATAAGAACTATATATTGATGTCTAGTCACTTAAAATAAAAACCCAAACTCACTGAGTAGAAAATACTGCCTTAGGCTACAATATTGGGAATTAATTTGATAGTAGTAAAGACTACTCTAGCCATGACCAGCTTTTGAACCAAGTTCAGTCACAGTAACAAAAGTGCCTTTTTGCACTTCTTAGTGCCTTTTTGAGCACTTCAGAAGCAAAGGCTTTATCTTGAGTACAGCAAGGTAGCCCAAGGTCCGGTTTGGCTGGAGAGAGTGCCTTAAGTCACGGCAGTCAAGTGAATGGCTGAGCTTTTTCTGTTCTTAAGTGTGTGTCATTATATCATTCTTGTGGTTCTGCAGTAAAAGAGAGGGGGCGCCTCAAGCAGGAGAGGGCTATACAGCTATAAATTTCCTAACACCTCAAAAGGATCAAGAACCGGCCTTAAAATCATCTATTCCTTCTCCCAAGTTTCATATTCCTCCTCACACCTCCACCACCGTCCTGAAAAGTGTAGTCTCTTCCTGCTTCTGGCAACTCTGAAATCCCACATCACTGTTGCACCACAACTACAGACCTTGAATCAACTTTCTCCTACCAAAATGTTGACCCTTAAATTATCAGAAATCTGACAGATATCGACTCTGACAGGCTGTGCTCTGTCTGGCATAGCCTTGCCAGGATCTCCTGATTCCAAATTCCAGGTCAAGAAAGGCCTTTTTCATTGTCCCAAATCTTGTACCCAAACTCCATTCACTGCATCTCATGCAGAAATTTCAAGGACAAAAATCAAACCCACAGTATAGCATCCAACTTTGGGGCAAATCTTCCTTCAGAATAACTAGAGTGATCTGGGTCTCTTGCAGTGGTAACTTTTTTCAGAAATAGCTCAGCATTTGAATGGAAGTGAGAGGAATGGTGCAACAGGCCGTGTGGAGTAGGTGAATGCTTATGGGCATAGTAGACATCTTGTTTCTTTATTTTTTTGGGTGCCACAGCAAAGTGTGCTGTGGCAAAGTTGCATGCTGTGCAACAGGTGAGTGAAGTATAGTCCACTACTGAGGACAGTATTTTTGTGGAAGAGGTCCGTGTTGGCTGGCATGACCTCCAGCCCTGTGTTTTGGCAAATCATGAAGAGGAATCTACTGCTGATGGCAGCAGCATCTGTTATATAGATTTTCTTTTTGAGGATGGATTCTGACTTGCAGCCCTCTGAAAGTGAAGTTGAAGTGCCAATGGTCTGAGAGGGTAAGGTGGAAAGATTGCAGAATGGGATGAGCGAGGTGCGTAAATCACTGCAGTGGTGAGGAGTGCTCAGGATCAGTGATGTTTTGGTGCTGAAAGCAGCTGTGGGATTCATTCCACATGAGGCAAGCATATGCTGGGCACGGCAGTTCCAATGTGTGTCCGACCTCTTCCGGCGGCAGTTCCAGTGTGTACCCTCTGCCTTTCCAGAGGCAGAGTTTTTTCTGCATTCGGTAGTCTCGCATACTACCGTCACGTCGTGTTACGTGTAGCTTCTGAGGGCTCGGGGTGGAGCTGCACAAGCTCAGAGCACTCCCGCTCCTGCGGCCCCACAGGGCCCCGCCCCACCGTGCCCCACGCCGGTACGGGCCGGCTCAGCCGTGCCAGCCGCCCGCCCGCTGCTCTCGGTCAGCGATGCGGCGCCCGCCCCCCTCCTCAGCGGGGCGCGCTGCGGCAGGCCTCAGGGCGGGCAGGGCCGGGCCGCTTCTGCGGGGCGGGGCACGGCTGCGGAGGGGGCGGGGCGCCGCGCCTGCCGCCTTTCCGTGGTGAAAGTGGCCCTGGGGCGCGCGAGCGTTTCCGGGGCAGCGTCATCACCGTCACGCTCAGCGTCGGCGTCGTGGTCACCATCATCATGACAACGCTCCGCGCCTTCACCTGCGACGACCTCTTTCGATTCAACAATATGTGAGCGCCGGCTGTCCCTCTTCCTGCCCCCGAGCCCCTGCGCGCTTCCCCACCCCGCGGGGTCCTCGCGGCGCCCCGCCGGCCGGCCGGGCCCGGGCCCGGGCCCGTGCTGAGCGCCGCACTCTCTTCCCCCGCAGCAATCTGGACCCGCTGACCGAGACCGTATCCTTCCCGCCGGGGCAGGGGCGCGGGGTCGGGCGCGGGCGGCGCAGCCGTGGCGGCCGCACTTGCTCCTTAACCGAGCGCCCAGTACGGGATTCCCTTCTACTTGCAGTACCTCGCCCACTGGCCCGAGTATTTCATCGTCGCCGAGGCGCCCGGCGGGGAGCTGATGGGTTACAGTGAGTGCCGGGTGTTCCGGCGGTAACGTCTCCCTTCGTTACCTATTTCGGGGATTATAACGCGGGAGCTTTTCTTACTCTTCGCGTTTACCAAATGTCCAACGTGGAAGAGAACCCTGCGTTGCATCTTCCTGTTTTTTAAATGTCTTACGGTATTATGCAGGACTCATGGCCATAGCTTCCACTTTGATCTTCCTAGCGCAGCGAGGAGCCTTGGCTGTGGTAACATCCACACGTATTTGGTGAATGGGTATTTCTGTAAGTCTCTACCCACAGTCAGTAAAAGCGCTGGGCTTGTGTTTTGCATTGCCCTGTAAGGGAAGGCTTTGGGCCTGGATGTCATTTGCTAATTTGATGTGGAATATTTTTGTTTTTCAGAAATCATGCCAAAGAGAACTGCCGGGAGATGGGGTGGGGCAGAGTAATGGTTTTTGCAGGGATCCAGGAACTAAAAGTATTTGACATACTAAAGCTGAAAGTATATGTGCTGCATAGAACATTTCTCTGTATTCACCACACTTGTTGCTTATTAGCAGTGACTATGATATCTATAAAAGCACAGGGTGGAAGTGTGAATGTTCATTAATAAACTAACACTGGATTGGCCCAGTGTAGAAAGGAGAGAAACTAGAAAAAAGCCCCCCAAAACACCATCCCCACCTCCACTTCTTGGTGGTGGGGTTTTATTTGGGGGGGGGGTTTCTTTTTTTTTTTTTTTCCTTAAACACATCATGTTGGCAGGGCCTTATATTTCTACTGCCAGACTGGCTAAGCTTCCCAAGCTCTATTCCCCCATAATCTCCAAAAGTCTCAAATAGTTGCTGGGGTAGTAATTTTGGGTTTCTAGCCCTCTGGTCCTCCTTTATTTCAGTCAGATCTTAATTTTGGTTTGGTGAGACTTGTGAGAATTGCTTAAAATTTGCATTTAGAAGTCACCTCAAGCAAGGAATTTGCAATCTTGTTTGGCATTTTTTTACATTAGTCAAGAAACTGCTGTAAGATTTGAGCAAAATGATATTTTTGGTGGCTGCTGAATCATAGAGTGAAAAGGTGGACATCCCTGTTTTAGCCTTTATGACAACCACTGTAACATGTATTTATCCATGGCTTATTCCTCTTGTGAAGTTGTCTGGCTGCAGGCAGTGCAGTACCCCAAAGGTGCTGCTGCGCTGATGCTCTGTATGTTCACAGTCATGGGCAAAGCTGAAGGCTCTGTGGCTAGGGAAGAATGGCATGGACACGTTACTGCTCTCTCTGTTGCACCAGAATTCCGACGGCTGGGTTTGGCTGCTAAATTGATGGAGCTCCTGGAAGAAATTTCAGAAAAGTGAGTAGTATGTCTGTCTTTATCTTTTAAAATAACATTTAAAAGTAGTATTTCTACAGAAAATCGACCCTGTTTTACATGGCAGAATTTTGCAATATGTGTTTTGATTTTCTGAAATTCCTCATAGTTGGAAGAAAAAGTTACGAAAATTGCCTAGCAGTTCAAAATCTCAAGGTTTCTCTGAAAGCTAACTTGCCAGAATGAGGAGGACATAGCCTGAATTCCAGTAGAGATACTGTATAAAAGAACATTCCTTGACAGGAAAAGAGCTTTGTGCAGTGCCCTCAGGCACAATCCTGAACAAATTTTGTACTGTGGAGAGTATCTTGGTTTACTTGACATCCCGTGCTTGGTTACTTTTACCTGAGAAAATTTAATTTAGTGTCAGATGAACTCACTGGGAAATGTCCTTAACTGATTCTGGTAGGGCAGCCCCTCTATGGTTGGTAAAACTGGAAAGTAGTATGATATTTTGAAAAATTTGCCTTGTGGAATTAAGGGTCTATTATCTCCTGTTAGGCAACTGAATTTTGTGACTGATTCCAGTCCTCCTAATTCAAGCAATCTAAAATGTGGATACTTTTAAAATTTGATTTAGGGCTGTGGGAGAATTTAACTTGTCTTGTTCTTTCTGGTCAAATTTCTGAACCCATTGACTGGTGAAAAATAGCCATGTGATAAAAACAAAATTAAATCCGTGTCTATGATTGAATTTTCCCTTGGTAAAGGAGTGTATCTGTTATTACATTGGGAAAGATGTTTAATTAGTATACTACGTTGGACTTGCTTTGGTTTCATTGCAATTTATGGGTTGTTACTTAGAAATACATTTACCTACTATTCCTTAATGTGGTTTTGTTTGTTTGTTTCTTTTCCTCCCCTGCTAAAGAAAGGGTGGATTTTTTGTCGATCTCTTTGTGAGAGTATCAAATCAGGTTGCTGTAAATATGTATAAGCAACTAGGCTACAGTGTATATCGGACAGTCTTAGAGTACTACTCAGCTAGCAGTGGGGAGCCAGATGAAGATGCTTATGGTAAGTTCTTGTTTGGTCTCAAATTGAATGGAACTATTCTCATGTTGAGGGTTCCTGGGCATGTTTGTAAGAGTGTTACAGTGTTCTATATGAAACACATAAAAAATATTATACAATTTGAAACAATTATATGAAACAATTTCAGATAGTTGCTGACTAATGGGATTTTTGTATTTTTGTAACTTTTCCTACCTAAGATTATATTAGGTACAAAAGTTAATCTTGCCATTTATACATTTTGTAGCATCTCTGGCAAAATCGACCACAGAACAAGAATAAATGAGAAGGAATGTCAGTGCTTTCTTCCTTTCATCCCATAACAGAGACCTGAAACTTTGTTTTTCTCAGATGTCTACCTGTAAATTAACAATTGTCAGCATTCAGCAATGGCAAAGAATTGGCTAACATTTTCAATTTAAAAGGGAAGGAACATGGAAATTCAAGTATGTAAATGTTAATTATGTTAACAAAAGTGAGCTGCAAAGTGCTTCCTCTTTCTAGGTCCTTTTTAAAATTATCCTTCCAAAGGGTTACATGGCCAGGCTATGTATCGTTTCTGTTCTTGCACTATAGGGGAGCACTGTGAAATACAAGAGCTCAGATAGACACCTAGCATTTCCGCATGTGACTTAAGTGATATATTTGTCACTTTAACTTGTCATTTCCTTTCCATTTGGCTGAGTTTCATGCAGTGTTTTATATCAGTTGATATTATTGCCATTGAGCAACATTAAGGACAGCAGTGTGTCCTGGGAAGAGCAACCAAGATGGTGAGAGCCTCAAGAGCAAGATTTAGGAGGAGCAGCTGATGTCCATGACTTTGTGCCACTTTGAGAAGAGAAAGCTGTTGCATGCCCTTGTCACAGTCTGTAACTTCCAGGGAAAGCAGAGGGGGGGTCTTGATCTCCTCCCTCCAGTGACGAGTGACAGGAACTGAGGAGACGAAGCAAAGCTGTGTCAGGGAATGTTCAGACTGAACGTTAGAAGGCTCTTCACTGAGAGGGTGGTTGGTAACTGCAGTGGTCTCTCCAGGGAAAGGGTCATGACACCAAGCCCATCAGAGTTCAAGGAATATCTGCACAATGCTCCTAATCATATGGTATAATTTTAGGTATTACTGTGTGGAGCAGGGAGTTGCATCCTTATGGGTCCTTTTGAACTTGAGGTAGTCTTATGATTCTAGGAAATTTTCTTGATTAAAAATGATTTATTTTAATGCAGAATTCACTTAATATGGCTTTGTACAATGACTGCAGTACTGTAATAACATTTTTCTTGTTGCTATAGATATGAGAAAAGCTCTTTCCAGAGATACAGAAAAGAAATCAGTTATACCTCTGCCTCATCCTGTGAGACCAGAAGACATCGAGTGACTTTAAGCTGTGGTTCTCATGCAATTTACTAAGGGTCAGGTTCCATCTCCTATAACCCCCAACAATTCATGCATAAGAAGTTTTAGGCCAAATGTTTTTCCCATAAAATACTTAAAAGCAACGTTGAGAAGCTGACTAACGCTGCTTCTATTGGTAATGGCTGTATACTGCTACACTTTTTTATTTTTCCTTTCACATGTTGGAGATTTGGAGACTATTAAAAAGGAATTACTTCCTGTATGGTCTTTTCTTGGTTTTCTTGTTGCAGCTAGAATTTATTTCTGTTTCAGGAAGCATCTCATTGTATAGTCTGTGATTTAACAGTTCCCATGTCAGGTTAATTGTTATGGAAGAAGGCAAATGAAGCCAGGACACTCAACTAGGATGCCCCAAACCCCTGCCAATCACAGGTTGCCAAATGAAAAAAACAGGTTACAAAAGTACTAGAAGCTCAGGTACAAAAATGCCAAAAATTCCCCCTGCAAAAAACTAGGTTCCAAAATACAACCCTAGTGTATTTTTGTTTAAAACCCTAGTTTTGAGCCCTAGTTTCAAAATAATGGAAAACCAAATTCCAAAATACCAAAGAAAACCAGATCTCAAAATCACAGATTTTAAATACCAGAATTTTAACCTAACCCAAGTTCCAAAATACAAAAGTAACCCAATTTAAAATACCAGAACAGCATGTTCAGAAATATCAAAATAACACAGTTTGAAAACACTAGAATATCAAGTTCCAAAATATCAAAATGGCCCAATTCAAAATATCAAACTGCAAAATACCAACTTTCAGATCTCTTATATGGTCAGGATTCCCAAACCCAAAAGAATGCAATATTGTCAAAATTGAATCTGTGCTACCAAAATTGATATTTTCTCATCTGCAAAGCTTTCCTCTGGTGACCATCAATACATGTATTTATTCTAATTGTACAGCCAGATGCAATAAGAATTTTGCTTTAAAGGCAAACACTTGTAGTAGCTGTCTGCTTAGTTTGTGTCTGTGAGAATTGGCATTTGGGTCGGAGAGTTGCAGTTGGGATCAAAGGATGGAGTACATCTGTTCCCTGAAGATGCACAAAGAAAGACTGCGGAGCAGGCAAAGGGAGCATTTATATATTTCACTGAAATTCAGGGCACAGCAGCGATGGGGGTGCTCAGGTTCATCAGGAATAGCCATTAACAACACAGCCAAACCCATGACCCCTCAAGGGACGTGTCAAACACTTCAACAGAAACAGAGGTCAGTAATGATTACAGAAGAAAAATTACCAGTAATCACTTACGGTCTATGGAAAATTTCTTTGGTAATGACAAAGCTAGGATGTACGGAATTTCAGAGGCAGGATCCCAGTTTTGGCCATGGGCACCTGGAGGATAAGTGTGGTTCTTTTCCACGGAAAGAAAAGCCCAGCACCCTGGTGTTTCAGGGGCAGACAAGGGGCCATGTAGGGGAGGTAACGACAACCGGGACCTCTCTCCACCTCAACCCCCCCGCTCCAAGCTGCAGCAGCCCCAGATGTGACCAGTGAGCATGAGAAGGGGGCAGCTCCTGCCTCAGGCTGCTTTCAGAGGGTTGCGTGGGCACACCTGCCGCAGAGTCCGTCTTTGCGAGCCGCCACCACTCCCGACCTACGCCCCTCCCCCCCCCTGCCCCGAGTGCCGAAGGAGCGCTCCGGTCGGGGCTCTGCGGGGG